ATCTTATATATATTTATATATAAAATAAGATAAAACCCAGAGGAGAGATTTTGATCCCTGAGTATGGAAAAGATGCTGTTATCATTTTTAAAATGCATAGAATTGAGATTAATGAGTTCTCATTACCAATTGACAGCTGGGGAAACTGAGACCATGCTATTCTACATTCTAATAGCAGATTTGATGCTAAAGCATATGGTCTCTTGAGTTCTATTCTAAAACTTCTCATCCTACTATGTTATTCTTATGGAGTTGCCAGAAAGAAAAGGGCCTATGAAATGCTTGAGATTTACTTTACATTTTTCTGGTCACAAAAGATAGCCGGAAGCTTCTTTGTGGTTGAGTCTCCCTGCAATGAGAAATAAGGTCTAAATGACCCAACCTGAGTCACTTTTAACTTGCTCTTTTAAAGCTTTGAAATATCCAAGTTTTTTTTTTTTTTTTCCAAAGAAGATTCTTTGAGACAACATTTTCCTTGTGAGTTGAATCTCCTGACAAGGGGAATTGCAATTTGCATACTGTATACGCTGGGATAACTGAGCCTTCAGCTATATCACATGCTAAGTGGAATTTCATTATATAGGATCGTAGCATAAGCAGATCCAACTATATGTATTTAACTCAACTGAAGTCCATTTGAAAATATTTTAAAATATTTTTCAGAAGATGCTTTATTCTTTCCTAGAAACATGCTCATTAGCATGATGCTGTGCTAGTCCAGAGAACATCTGAGGTGAGTCTACACACACTTGCTGAGGCACACATGAAACTGTAGAGCTGTTTTGCCATTCATTATTTCTCGGGCATAACTCATTTCATTATTAATGTAGTGAATTATTTTTCTTTGACTCAGTTTATCACATATGACCATACATCAATCAAAGGAACAAACATGAATACCCTGCTATTAATACCCTTTTTCATTCTACTTTATTATCAAAAGTTAAGCACTCTGAAACATTTATTAGTTTAGTGTGTTTATTTTGAAAATAAAAATGTAAAGACAGAAAATGGAAACTATAAGAAAAGTAATAAAACGTGCCCCATTTGAGGCAGAAAGTGGAGCACTTAGAACAAGACAATGACGTACATTCTCTAACTGGCAGGTGGATATCTCATTAGATGAAAATGATAAGAGATTTAGTGGACTGAAGATAACTTCCTTTTGACAGTGCCCTGACCCTTGGCCTGTGGCCTGACTCCTGTTAGCTTCACTAACACAGGGTAATTGTCACAGGTGTGGGATAAAAGACATCCCTACGGAAGCTACCAACAGGCAGAGATGTATTTCTTTTGATGATCACTAATGTGCTGTTGAGATAAAACCATAAGTTTGGACCTTCTCCGACCCATAAGCCTTAAATATTTACCCATCAGCAAGAAAAATTCCAAATACATAGGGCTTTCTTCCCTTTTCTGGCTTGAAGATCACTGTTGTGTGTGTGTATAGGGTGGGGGGGGAGTACATGCATCAGCCCAAAGCAATGGCAAATATGTTATTGTCATTATCCTGAAAGCATGTTTCACACATAATTGTGACACAGATCTAATAAAGAATGCTTCTATTCATAATAGACTCCCTGAATTTTTATAATTATTAGTAAACTCTGACTGTGTCATACTCTGGAAGTGTTTCCTATTCTGAAATGATTCTTTTGTATTTATATGCTAATCACCTTCTTCAAAAGAAATCACTTCTTTGAGTTTTATTTAAATGTTCTGAAGGTAGCTTTGAGAGTACTTACGGATGATGTGGTAACAATTGTGATTTCTCATGAAAGTTAATGCCTCCTTCTGTAAGAAAATATATTATATACTCCTCGTTCAGCAACACAAGTAAGAAATTCAGAAAACACAGTGAAGCACAGTGAGTTATGCAAATCCAGGTTACAAAAGAAGAATTTGACAAGGGAAAGCCAAATGACTGCAATGTCCATTAAAGTGAAATCAGGACAGTCATGTAGCCATAATCTGGGGGGGAAAAAAAACTACAGAAGAATGAATATTGCTGGTAAAATATAAATGACTTCCACAATTCATTAAATTGAAGTCAAAGCAGTAACCTAGCAGTGTTTTCAAATTGTTCTCTCATGAAGGACACGGAGTCAAGTTTTTAAATACTTGACACAATAAAGTGATGCATTTCACTATTTTTTTTGGGGGGGGGGTTGTAACACTAGAATCACCCAAAATGTTTGTTACTTAGCATGAAGAAACCCTAACAATTTCATGACCATTATAGATTTCGAGGATCCAATTTCTATTGAAAACTATGGTCAAGGCGTAAATTACTTTTAAATTCATTGAGGGTTCTTATTCAGGTCATGGGTCTTGGCCTTCAGTAATTTTTTTCTTACTTACAGCCCACATTGATGACACAAAATTGGTATATATAAGCTTTAGGATAATCAGTCAAGCAAATTAAAATTTTATGTCTATCTTAAAGTGGTATTATAGGTAAAGTGCTTCAGTTGGTACAGTAAAGGTGTAGTCAAACTCATCTGTTTCCAAAATATACCACACTTTCTTTTTATTAAACCATGAAAATAAAGGATTGTAATCATGTAGCGCATTGTCATGCATCCTTGCTATAATAATGCCTTCTTCCCAGACTACCATCTTTTCAAATGTGATGAGATCATCAGGTAACAGTGTAGGATATGAAGGCTTAGCGTGCTGTGTTGTTAGCACATTAAAAAAAGAAATTGCTGGGATAATTAACAACTACCTATTTGTCTGTGGGATGCATTCATTATGGCTCTACAAATTGGAGGTCTCCAAAATCTGTGCAATAAAATTTACTCTTTGTTCAGGAAGTTCCCCTTGGATTTGGGGAAAATTCTGGTTTGCTGTGTCTATTGTAATTGTGACAGGCAGTTGACATGTCTCATAGTCTAAATGTAGTGGCAAGCAGGGGGTGGTACAATGATGAAAAAACTGCCATTCATTCTTGTGCAAAGGAAAGGTGTTTCTTAGCATATTCCAACCTATGTTCAGACTAGAGTTGGGTCTTTGGGGTTGAAGGTCAAATCTGTGAGGTCAAAGCTATTTCTTGTCAATCTTCGTTCACTAATGACACATGAATTGGAAATTAGAACAAAGTAAGTAAAACGAATAGCCAGAAGGTGAGTGTCTGTTTTATTACTCAGAAGAGCTGGGAAATCTGGCCAATTGTTGCCCTATGTGGCTTGAATGACAGTTGTTAAGTTGAAAAAGGGACAGTGTGATGGGAATGCCACTTTAAATCTCAATTACCTCCTCCACTCCAATCAGCTTGGTAGAGCTTTAATGAAGTGCAATTCTCTGTCCTTTTCCTCATACTTCTATCTCTAGAATAAGCCTCACATTCAAGTTTGACAGCAGTACAATCAGTTTTCCATTCATCACTGGCCCTGTTTTAACCCTGCTGAAAAAGGGCCTAATGTACGTGGCAGTGATGGCAATTAGGCAGAAAAGTAATATTAGAAACAGACAAAAGCCTGAGTCTTTTAGCATTACAGGTGTTTTTTTTTTTTTT